CAGACTGATCACGAACCAATCCCAGCTGAGTCCACTCTAATCATTTGGAGCTCAAATATGAAACACAAAAGCGTGAGCTGTAAGCAGACCTCCGGAGACGCATGTTTGTTGATGAGAGTCGGGATCTTCCATTCGGATGAAGTCTCCTTGGCAAGAGGCTTTTGCTGCTCCTCACGAGCCTTCGCTGGATTTTCTTCTTCCTTTCTGTTACTTGGTGCTTCCAAATATTCTGCAAAACCAAACATTAGTATCATTCTTTTTTTGTACAACCATTTTTCACATTAACCCTAGAAGACACTCAAAGGAAAACAATGCTCAAAATGCTAAATGTCATATTAGGTGTAGGGTTAGGGTTGCATTACTATGTAACAATCATCCTTAACTTTATATAAAATAATAAACAAATAAAAAAAATAAAAAAAAGAATCATTCCCATTGGAAATGTGAAGACCAAAATGTTTCAACTTCAAAGAAAGAAAGAAAGAGAGAAAGGAAGAAAGAAAGAAAACTAGAAAGAACGAGAGAGAGAGAGAGAGAGCGCGAGAGAGAGAGCAAGAAAATAAATCAGGTATAACACACTGAAAAGATGTCTGTCTTCATGTGTACACAGACTAAATATATCATTTTTTTAAATAATCATAATAATGAACTCTTAAATGTAGCCACTAACAGTGATTACCAGGGTCCAAGCTCCAATGGCTCATGTAGACAATCTGGTAATACAATGGCCATATTATAACAATATAGTATGATTTCAATTAATTATGGAAGTATTATTCTATGCATTATATAAAAAAAAAAACACAAATTATGTTGTCTCTTGATTTTAACTCAACAGCAATACATTTAGTCCCGCAACTTGATGAATAGGTTTTCAAAGTAAAAATGATCTTTGGAGCTCACAGATTTCTATGGACCCTTCATGACAGAACACAAATATGAGTCTTGTGTGAACAACACTGAAGTCCACCTCAAACAAACAGACAACTTGACTGCTGTGCACTGCAGATCAGTGACAGGCAGATGTCCAGTGACAGCAAGTATGGTGTGAAAACACTTGCAAATACACTAGGGCTGTCAAAAAAAAAAAAATTTGAATTTTCATTGAATTTAAAATAAAAATCCACATTCGAATGCAAAAACGTTGCATTTGAATTTTAGGTGTGCGTTAAGGAGGCAGCCTTATCAGCGGCGCACGAGATGCGATGACGATGTATTATAATGTTTATGTTAGCCTGTCCAGTTGAAGCCACTAGATGGAGTAAAAGAAAACATCAATGCGGAGAAGATGTTGTTTGTCAAAACTGAAACCAAGCCGTTCACACAGAACACATTTTTCGCACACTTTCTAGAGGGACATCTATCACCGTTGCACTCGCACAAAAGAGCCGCATGTTTAGAAAGCCATGTAAAATTAATGCAAGTTCAACTTTGAAAAAACATATCTCGAGACTTTATGGTAGGTATTTCCCCATCTCACTGCATCTTGTGCTTTTAAATGAAAAATGTACTCTGTGTGAGATTGGCTTTCCGCCCTTTGTATTAAACTATGCATACATACATGCTGCTGTTTTGTTTATAGTAGTTTAAGCAACTTAATTATAATTGGTTTATAAACATTATTTTAAACATTATGCACTTTTTTCACAGATAGTCGTGTTATCTTATGCTTTGATGAAACGTGCATTAGTAATATTTTGCTCGATGTGCCCTCTTGTGGCCTCAAGAGAGAAGCCAAAAGCTTTTCTTCACCCTCAATGAAATTATGCATTTTAAATTCGAATAGAATTCGAATTTTGATAATATTTAAGTACAAAATTCTAATTTAGTTTTTCAGCCATTTTGACAGCCATAAAATACACAGCGGCAAAAACAAATAAAGACAGCTCTAAAGTGCACCTCAGAGGGGGAAAAAAAAGGTCTCCTTTAACAGAAGAGTCTGAGACTAACCTGCAGCGTTCTCTTCATGCTCCGCAGGAAGCAGATGAGCTTTCCCAGACTTGAGATTTCTGATAGCGGTCTGCAGCAGTTCAACCGGCCGTGCGTTTGAGCTCAGCGCTTTCTGCAGAATCAAATTACTCTTCCTAGAGTTACCTGAGAGATTTTCAAAATGTAATTATACAGGCATTAAACACGCCTTCACTGTTAAGCCAAAGAAAATGACACTTCATACTTCTGAGGTCATAATTATGAGCCTGTCACAAATCAAATGCTTTGTGGACAGAACGAATAGACGGCATTAGATGAAATAAAAAAAATTCAGATGCACCCACTCATAACTGCAATAGAAGTCATCAATATATTTGGTACATCTTCTCAGAATAAAAAGATGCTAAATTCAACAAGTCAATATTCTAGGCGAACACTTGCATACAGATGACCTAGAAGCTAAAAGACTTGAACTATAAAAGTCAGACTAGTCTATTTTTGAGTACATAGGGTCTTTTTAATGTACTATATTCTTACTAAACCAACAAATGTCATGCATTACCTTGTGAGAGCTCAAACTGAGCATGTGCGATATGCACAAAAGCAAAAGCTTTACTGTGCGATCTGGCAATACTGAAATGATCCGGAGCGTCTTCTGGATCTTCAATCCTGTAGAGGTGGCAAAGAATAAATTACTCAAGATTATCAGCTGCTGACATGAGACTTAGTGCAATCCACCACTGACTCACCCTTTCAGCTCTGCATATCTCACTAGCATTCGAGCATAGCTTTCAGTTTTGCAATGCTTTGCCAAAGGAAACCTGGCGAACACTTTAGAGTAGCAGTCCAGGAGTTTGAAGAGAAACGCCGGGTCTGAACCAGGGTCTCCTCTCTTCTCCAGGTTCTTCAAGAAGATCTGACAACTTTCAGGAGAGTTTGTGCTGATGAGCTGGTTTATGTCAGTGGTTTCTATGAAAGAACGAAATATATCAGAAAAGAGTGCACTGCAACAAATAGTTGCTTGAGCAAACCTATGATAGTTTTGAGTGTAAAAAAAAAAAAAAAGTATTCTGGGTCAACAATGGGTCATATTATGTAAGAATGACCTTCCGTTCGAGCGGTTTCTTTTCTTTCTGCTCTTTGTAGGAGTGCTGTGATGGTGTCGCCCTCTTCAGTGTTTCCCCTCAGATGATCTGGACTGATCAGAGGAGGCTGCACAAACAGAACAACACTATTCAGTATTAGCTTTACATAGTGAACGTTTACATTCTGAAAGTTGTTGCTACTGTATGACTCATAACTCTCAGCACTGGTGAGTTTAAGTCTATTTTAAGGCCGGAAGACACTTATACCTTCAGGTTTAATAAACTGTAGGAGTCCCCATCCGGAGTGCCTTTCCTTGAGGAACACATGGGGAACGTGGAGCGGACATTTGAACCGCTTGTTTGCCTGGAGAAAATCCAACATTAAAGCTTGATTTAAATTTAAGACAGTGTGACTATGAGACAGTTTAACACTTTTACATTATTACTGCTATTAATGAAAAGGATGTTTAAATTATGATTTCAATTAAAAAAATTAAACAAATCAAAGTATTACTGTTGCAATAATATTGCACTTGTAAAATACATATATTAAAAGTATTTGTAAACCTAACATTTTTTCTCTTGTATTTTCGCATTTCACGTGGGTCATGCTTCTCGTAGGAAAATAAAAATAGCAAAAATTGCATCCCTGGAGTACTTAACTAACTCACTGAATTACAGTACTCAAATGACGGATATTTATTTTCGGTCAAATCGCCGCCCCTGCACAGGTCCACATCTCTCACCTGGAGAAACCACTGCCGTGTGCAGCTGGAGCTTCTGGTTTCTGAACACCGTCACGGTCACTGCTCTCGTTTTCAGGGATAGAGAGAGGCACCATGGGAACTCTTTCTGCCTGCAGCGAGGAACACAAGCAAACACATCAGTTTCCACTTTCGAGTGTGGTTTGCTGATGGACTGACGTCCTCTCTCATCTTACCATGGCTGTTCTTCTGTGTTGTGACCCTGCTCTCCACACAGGCATGCCCATGTTCTCTGGTGGACTGAACTTCTGATCACTCCTGGAATGCAGACTGTTTGTTAACATCAATTATTTCATGGTAAAAAGAAAAATTCTGTCATGGGACATATATTCCTTAGGCACAACAGGCTGTAAATATTGTGCATTACGGCTATATATAAAATGGTCACTCTTCTGCTCACCAAGTCTGGGTTTACTTGTTCAAAAAACACAGTATATTATTACAATTTAAAAGAACTTCTATACACAGGCATGCCCATGTTCTCTGGTGGACTGAACTTCTGATCACTCCTGGAATGCAGACTGTTTGTTAACATCAATTCTTTCATGGTAAAAAGAAAAATTCTGTCATGGGACATATATTCCTTAGGCACAACAGGCTGTAAATATTGTGCATTACGGCTATATATAAAATGGTCACTCTTCTGCTCACCAAGTCTGGGTTTACTTGTTCAAAAACAGTATATTATTACGATTTAAAAGAACTTCTATGTGAGCATAAAGCAAATTAATTGCTGATTTGCTGCTCAAGAAACATTCCAGTCGTGCTGCTTCATATTTTGTAGAAACGGGTACATTTTATTTCAAAAGAACGACATTTATTTGAAGTAGAAATCTTTTGTAACATTACATACGTGTCCCTGCAGCACAAAAGCAGTGTTAAGTCGCTGGGGGATATTTGTAGCAATAGCCAACAATACATTGTATGGGTCACAATTATACATTTTTATTTTATGCCAAAAATCATTAGGATATTAAGTAAAGATCATGTTTCATGAAGATATTTAGTAAATTTCCTACCGTTTTTTGATTAGCAATATGCATTGCTAAGAACTTCATTTGGACAACTTTAAAGATGATTTTCTCAATATTTTGATTTTTTTGCACCCTCAGATTTCAGATTTTCTAATAGTTGTATCTCGACCAAATATTGTCCGATCCTAACAAACCATACATCAACGGATCGCTTATTTATTCAGCTTTTCATGAAATCTCAATTTCAAAAAATTTACCCATATGACTGGTTTTGCGGTCCAGGGTCACAAATGTTACTTTATCAATTTAATGCATCCTTTCTGAAGAAAAGAAAACAATTGTACTGATCTAACCTTTGGAACAATATTTTTTGAACAATATGTGGTATCATTGTGTGATATGTTTTTTTGAACTACGTATATGTGGTTATTCTTAGCCTTTTAATGATATTCAATATATTGCTTGATTTGATATGCCCAGCAAACTTGTCATGAACTTCCCATGAAAGAACAGAGGTTTTCATACCCGTGGTGAAAAGTGCTGCTGCTCTGCAGGTCATATGTTCCATCAGATCTTCTGGAGCTGCTTCTCACAGACTCGTGTGCATCGTCATGTGCACACACTTCTCAAGGCATTTAAAAGACATGTTTAATTCATGAAAACCAAAAGTATACATCACAGGATTTCAATAAAATATAACGAAAACATTTACAGAAAATCTTCCAACCTCTATTACTGACTTTCTACCGTCAAATTTTTTAATAATGCACTGGTAATTTTTTCACTGGATATAAAACTGGACACAAAAGTATGGAAGCCTGCTTCCGCCACAGAAGTTAATAAAAATAAAAAAGTGATTTTATCTCACAATTTTTTTTAAATCATAGGCGCAAGTTTTTAATTTGCAATTCTGTCTTTTTTTCCTCAGTGTGGCAGATTGTTAGATAAAGTCACAATTACCTTTTTTATTCTATAGCGCAAACAGGCTTCCATACAACAACACCACAGTAAAAAGTAGTCGACGTGATGCAAACTAACCGGTTAAGTTCTCCTTATCTTCATGCGAGAGGAGCTGGCGTTTGCCTGCGTTTAGATTCCTCACGGCAGCCTCCAGAACGCGCCTGGGTTTAGCATTCATTTCAAAAGCCTTCTGAAGAATCAAAGTGCATTTCTTAACGTTGCCTGGAGAGAATGAAAGCAATGAATGACCTTGTGTTCTTCTCAATCAGAAAACTTTATTTTTTAAGAGGCAAAAGCGCCTTATATTTTGAAGTCTCCTTACCTTGCAAAAGCTCAAACTGAGCATAAGCAATGTGAACAAAGGCAAAATCCTTACAGTGGGATCTCGCTATGTCAAAACTAGCCTGCGCGTCATTTACATCTTGGATGCTGTTGATGAAGAGAGACTAAATTAAATAATACATTCAAATATTTGGCAGTTGAAAGTTGATTTAAGAAAAAAATAAAATGTTCACCTAAAACTACAAATCTGTCTATTTTCTCACTCTCACAACATTTCAAAGCATATTAAGTATAAGTGTCCCTGCAGCACTAAAGCAGTGTTAAGTCGCTGGGGTATATTTGTAGCAATAGCCAACAATACATCGTATGGGTCAAAATTATAGATTTTTCTTTTATGCCAAAAATCATTAGGATATTAAGTAGAGATCATGTTCCATGAAGATATTTTGTAAATCTCCTACCGTAAATATATCAAAACTTAATTTTTGATTAGTAATATGCATTGCTAAGAACTTCATTTGGACAACTTTAAAGATGATTTTCTCAATATTTCGATTTTTTTTTGCACCCTCAGATAGTTGTATCTCGACCAAATATTGTCCGATCCTAACAAACCGTACATCAATGAAAAGCTTATTTATTCAGCTTTCAGATGATCCATAAATCTCAAATTCCAAAAAAAACCCCATATGACTGGTTTTGTGGTCCAGGGTCACATATTTCATAATAGGTAAAAAAAAAAAAAAAAAAGTAGTATATAATAGTAATATTAACTAGGGTGAACTATTCTGTAAAGATCATTATGTACAGAATTTTCAGAATGATGAAAGACTGTTAGAAGTCATTTCAAATCCCGGTGAAACAGAGACTTACGCTTTCAACTCCGCAAATCTGACCAGCATCTTGGCGTAGCTCTCTATCTGACTGTACTTGCCCAACGGCATGCTGGAAAAGACACGCGTGTAGCAGTCGATGAGTTTAGTGAGCAGGCTGGGATCCGTTTGAGGATTGCCTTTCCTCTCCAGATCGGTCAGAAGCGTCCGGCAGGTATCGGGGGAGTTTGAGCTGATGGCCTGGTTGATGTAATCCGTGTCATCTGTATGGAAGAAAAGCCAAAGATGTTCTGCTCTGCTCGACTAACAACCCAGGATTCTCGTGTCGGCCAATGAAATACCTTGACTTTTGCATTCTTTCATGATTACTGGATCAGGGGTGTTAAAAAAAAACAACATTTCAGAGATTGATTACCTAGCATAACAACAACAAACATTGGAACTACAGGAATGTTCGTGACTTTTCAAGATTCCGTAACATTCCCAGGCCTGGAATTCCCTGATTTGTCCATGTTTAAAAGTATGGGACATGAGTGAGCGTATGCATTACCCAAATCTGGAAGTTCTTACCATCGTTGTATAACTTCTTCATCTTGGCCAGCCGCTGACACAGCATGGCGATCTGCATCTGTCGCTCTGTGCTCTCTTCTTCATCCATCTCTGCACACTAAACAACACAACACACTTAAGTTACTGTACTGCAATGACTCTATGGAAAGATGACAGTTTAGTTCAGTCTATGTCTGCATGCATGTGTCTGTCATTCCAAACATGTCTCACCAAACCCATAACAGGTCTTCAAATACAAACAAACCTAAATAACTAGGCCCAGGCTTTGCCAGGACAACATTCAAAGCTTGTTTTGGTGATATTACACTAACGTACGTTACATATAAACTTCGCCATCCATGTCTAGGGCCCTTTCAGCATCTGAGCTAGTTCTTTCTCCATCTAACTAGATCTTCACTCTCCTCAAATGTATTATATGACGGAGTATTGTTTAACTTGCTGCGATTATTAACCTAACAGATACACCACGGCCGGATGCTAGCTTACTTAGCCATCCGGCTAACCTCGCTTTACAACCGACAATTCCTCGTCGACACTCGTGTATTTTTGATTTAGTTATTGCCACTGACGCACTAAATCGCACTGTTCGCGTTTTCGACGACGTTATAGAGTGTTTTAAAGCAGTACACTTACAGTGAGACGGAGTAAGCAGGCGAATTTGACGGTGGGCTTGATCGAATGTTTGTTTTGTTGAAAAACCGTTTCAAAATCCGCGACGTCCACCAAAACGCGCGTTCCTATTGGTCCATTTGTATTTCACGTGACCCCTTCGCATTTGAGGGGCGGGGCTTCCCAGCAGCTTCCTGCTTTCATTCATTCCTTCTTTTGGAAAGATTTGTATAGAATTAATATTTTAAAATCATAACTAATAGAATTCATCCTGTAAAAACTAGAATGTTTCAGACTAGTAGTGCAGTACCTCCTATGTAGTATTGATAGAATATAAACAAACTATTTACAACTATGTGGAATTGATATAATGGCAGGCTGTATTTCAATTTAAATGAGATGTGGACAATATAAAGCATGTTTAATACTATTATGATTATGATTATTATTATGTAGAGTTACACATGCATACAATTAAGTGAGCTTGATTCAACCCATTTAAATGTAGTTTTTAAACACTGATAAAATACATGCATATTTTATTGTTTACCATAAAAACTTGGTAGAAATGTTGTTCATAATGAACACAGCATTTCTTAGGTATTTTTAAAAGCAAAAAGTTTAAGCAACAGGATCACAAAAAGATCCATTTTGTTTAGTGCAAATTACAATTTGTGTTGTCAAAAAATGGCAAGTTATTTAAAACATCGCACAGCTCCGCTATCTTTCGTGGAAAAATCTTAGACTTAATTCTTAATCTAGTGTTTAAAGTTCAATGTGTTACACCATTGTCAAGTCACCTTTATTTATACAGCGCTTTTAACAATACAGATTGTGTCAAAGCAACTGAACAGCATTAATTAGGAAAATAGTGTCAATAATGCAGAAGGACAATAGTAAACACTCAATATTCAGTTAAAGACAGTTCATCATTGAATTCAGTGATGTCAACATCCAGCTCAGTTTAAATAATATCTTTGCAATCATGTCAACGATATCGCCGGAAATGAAGTGACCCCAACTAAGCAAGCCAGAGGCGACAGCGGCTTAGGTTATGTTTAGCAGTCACTCATAAAAATGTAAGAACTAGATAAAAATAAAAAAGACAAATACAACATACAGGGGCACTTTCTTTTATTTATGATTATTTCAGGTAGTGAAACTTTTCTAAAGGCAGTAAAAACAACCTCACACACATCATTCCTTACAATTGCTGGAATAAATACATTAAAAAGCAAAATGAGTTTACTGAATGGTTGGAAGTAATGAGAAATGTTTCTGTAAACACAAATGTAATGAGCATATAATTACTTATAATACAGTAAGATGACCATATTGGTACATAATGACTCTAAATTGAGATTACTGGTAGATCGAAGACCTTAAACAACACTTACTTATAAACAAGGTATGTTTAGGAATTAATCATATCTGCGATGAAGTGCGAAAAATGCAACATTTGACAAATCTAAGATTTAGCATCCTAGTCTATCTGCTGGCCTTGCTTGGGTCCTTCCAGCGTCCGAAGAGTTTCATCCCACTGTGAAAACTGCTTTGATAACAGAAACATCTGCGGAAGACGTTAAGGATGATAAGACATTCATGTGAATACATTAAGCTCATTGTGTGCTGTTTTTAGCTGCAGGGAGTTCTCAACAGATGGCAAGCCTTTCTCGAGACTTTCACCGCAAGCAAGGATACCATTTTGTTGTATTCTTCAAACAGCTTCTTCACTTCAGCAGATAATTCTTCATTCTGGTCCTGTGGAAGTCCATCAGGATTAATACAATTTATATAGTGCTCATTAAATGAGAGCATGCCAATACAGTTTTTTTTTAGCAATAAAAACCTCTGTTTTTTTTTTAGCAATAAAAACCTCTGTTTTTTGTTACCTGCTGTTGAATGTGAATTTGTGACAATCGCTGCACTTTAGTGGTCAGCTCGGGAACCGCTGTGATACCATGACGTGAGGGGAAATATTTTAAAGGGGGAAAAAAAACATTGTTATAAATACGACCAGAAAACTGTAGTCATACTTAAAGAAAAGGCTCATTTACATATCTGACAAATATTTAGCAACCTTTAATGTGGTTGCTGTCCAGAAGAGGCTGCAGATTGTGCACCTGCTCCAATAATGTGGCCTGAGATCGCAAAAACTCTTCCTCTGTAGATAAAGAATGAGGAGCTTTATGCACCGTTTAGATCAGGCCATTCAAAAAATATGAGATGTTTTAGTGGTTCTCAACTGGTGAACCACAACTCAGCAATAAATAAATAAATAAAAATAATGGGTTGCATGCAGTTCTTTACTATAGAAGCTTTTTGACTAGCGTTTGACTATTTGTCTCACAATTCTTAAGTCAGAATACCTTTTTTAGACTGTGACAGAAACATTGTGAATTGTGAACTGAACTGTGAAATGTAAACTCACAATTAGTGTATAACTTGCAATTGCAAGACAAAGTGCAGTCTGCAATTGTATTTTTGTGCAGATTCATCTGTTACTTGCCAGCGTTTGATCTTATTCTTACAAACCATGAACAAAACTACACGAGGTCTAAAAATAAAAATACAATTCAGACTAAATAAAGGTTCACCTGCAATGATGGTTTGTGCCAAATATAACATGTTTTGTGCAGTGGATTAGTGCATGACACTTAGAAAATCAAAACACTTTTTCATCCTATGTCATGTTAATAACTATGCATATTGTTGGGCCTATACAGTTTATAGTACTGTTATTAAATGTCAGTTTTTGATCTTAAGGACTGATTTGGTCAGTGTCGACACATGTGAGAATCAGAGCACTAACCTGCTAGAATGAACTCTAGTTTCATTGCATCTGGCACAGCAATGAAGTCTGTGAACTGGGGGTCCAAATACTTCAGCAAATCTTCAACTGACAGAAAAGACGCAATGATGGTGAAACATTAAAACATCAACAGTATTTTGATTACAGATGTTGACTGAGAGGTTCTCACTTTTCTTGTGAAGGATCCTGACACGCTCTCTCTTGTTTGCGGTGTTTGCCAGAGCAGCACTGATCCTTGTGAGTGATTCAGCACACTGAGGGAAGGAAAGAGATTAGAAATCCAGCAAAACACGCACACACTGCTAAGCTAACGTAAAGATTATGGAAGAAATGTTATACAAAACAAGTAGCGCTGTCAAACGCGTTAACCGCTGTTAATCGCATCCAAAGTAAACTTTTTTGTTTACATAATATATGTATGTATGCTGTTTATATTTATTATGTATATATATATATATATATATATATATAAATATATAAATACACACACATGCATGTATACATTTCAGAAAAATATGTTGTTTATATATTAAATATATTTATTTATAATATACATTTTATGAATATATGTAAATATTTTGAAAATATATACTGTATGTGTGTATTTATATATACATAATAAATATACACAGAACACACACATATATTATGCAAACCAAAACTTGTATGCGATTAATCGCGATTAACTCAGCACTACAAAAAAGGATAAGTCTGATCATTACCGAGTATACCACTTTTAATCAACTGTTACTTCTATGCACAAAAATGATTGTGCATGCATTTATGATTACTTTGTAATTCATAATTAAATAATGTATTTATGTCATGTATAATTAGCAATAGCAAGTATTCTATTTATGTTAGCGATTCTATTTAGACCAGTTGTTTCCATCGGGCATTCGTTCACACATATAAGTACTACAGTTTGCTACAATCAATTACAATTTAATTAAATTCAGTTCACAAGTTTGCAAATGTCTTGTTTTGAACCACTCAATAACTGTGACAGTGTTTTTCTTGGGAGGACAAAATGACATGTCATGCGAACTGCACATGTATATACCAATACATTTGATTGATAGAGCGCTTTTACAGAAACTCAAAGACGTGTAGTGTGCACTAGTCAGTGTACTAACTAGAAGACTGAGGAATCCACCCTGTTTATGTGTCACGAGTCCTGCTGCCACGCCCGCGGTGTGAACAGCTCTCACTATGCAGCTTCTGACACAACTAGTGCACATTATAAGAACATCAGCGACACTGACTGCTATTATGATCTAAATATCATGTCAAATCAACATCAATAAACCCAGCAGCGCTGCAGCTGACACACACACACACACACACACAGACGACACACACACACAGACAGACACAGACACACACACACACACAGACAACACACACACAGACAACACACACACACGCAGACACACACACACACGCAGACACACACACACGCGCACACACACACACGCGCGCACACACACACGTGCGCACACACACACGCGCGCACGCACACAGACACTCTCACAGACACACACACACACACAGACAGACACACACACACACACAGAGAGAGAGAGAGAGAGACAGACACACATAGACAGACACAGACAGACAGACAGACACACAGAGAGAGACAGACAGACACACACAGACAGACAGACAGACAGACACACAGAGACAGACACACACACACAGACACACACACACACACAGAGAGAGAGAGAGAGAGAGAGAGAGAGAGAGAGAGAGAGAGAGAGAGAGAGAGAGAGAGAGAGAGAGAGAGAGAGAGAGAGAGAGAGAGAGAGAGAGAGAGAGAGAGAGAGAGAGAGAGAGAGAGAGAGAGAGAGAGAGAGAGAGAGAGAGAGAGAGAGAGAGAGAGAGAGAGAGAGAGAGAGAGAGAGAGAGAGAGAGAGAGAGAGAGAGAGAGAGAGAGAGAGAGAGAGAGAGAGAGAGAGAGAGAGAGAGAGAGAGAGAGAGAGAGAGAGAGAGAGAGAGAGAGAGAGAGAGAGAGAGAGAGAGAGAGAGAGAGAGAGAGAGAGAGAGAGAGAGAGAGAGAGAGAGAGAGAGAGAGAGAGAGAGAGAGAGAGAGAGAGAGAGAGAGAGAGAGAGAGAGAGAGAGAGAGAGAGAGAGAGAGAGAGAGAGAGAGAGAGAGAGAGAGAGAGAGAGAGAGAGAGAGAGAGAGAGAGAGAGAGAGAGAGAGAGAGAGAGAGAGAGAGAGAGAGAGAGAGAGAGAGAGAGAGAGAGAGAGAGAGAGAGAGAGAGAGAGAGAGAGAGAGAGAGAGAGAGAGAGAGAGA